ACACCTTGGCCTGTGTCCACTGAGACGGACTTAGAGGAGCGGGCAGGGCCACGGAATCTGCATCTCAGAAGCCCCTCTAGAGCGGATTGTCTAGGGGCCAAGAGTTAGCTGACCAGTGGCCAAGTTTAAAGGTCCAAGGAGAGAAAGTACTCGATCCAGAATGCAAGTCAAAGTAGCCTCCGATGAGAAGACGTCCTCTTCCGGGAGCAGAGAGACAGAAATGCAAACGGATCCCAGGTAAGCGAAGGAAGCTAACACAGCTCCTCCCTAATGGCCTCTCTGAAGAGTCATCTGCTGAGAGGAAGGGGAGCAGGGGTGCGCAGGAGGGCGCGAGCAGGCTGAGCACAGACAGGGGGCAGAGCCGGCACGGCTGGGCCAGTCTGCGCATCTGGGGTCTCCAAGGTGGCGGAGGTCCAGGGCACAGGTAAGCAGGCTTCCCACGGCCCTCACAGTCCCGAGAGTAAGTGAACCTCCCAGCAAAGTCAACATTTCTTTTGAAGATACCAAAGTAGCAGGAAATTTAAAGGGTAGGGTTTACAAGCGCCACTCTCTCCTGCTCTCCACCTTGCCAACGATGGTAAGACACCTCCCATGTGCTTATATCACACACCCATTAAAACAAAATTCGGTCCCCATTTGTCCACAGAACTTATTCAGCTCCCAGCAAACCAGAATTCACCTCTACGACCGCCACCAAGATGCATCCAGAAACACCATCCTGCTTGTCCCCTAAAGACAGGGAGACAAACCACCCGGGAGCAGGGACCCTGGGGCTACGGCAGGAGGCCTTAAACCACCTCCCCTCCTGGGACTCGGGGTCCTGTTCTGTGAAGCCAAGCGACCACGTGACCATGACAGTCTCATTCACTCTGTGATCCTAGGTGTCGCGGTTCCCACACTCGAATGGAAACGCCGGAGGCACCACGTCCAAAGAGAAGACGTCAGCAGGGAGGGCGGAGATGTCCCTTAGAAATCTGAGAGCCAAAGAAAACGTGTACAGAAAGAGAGAACTAAATCAAATAATTAAATTGACTTAATTTAATTGAGTAAAATTAAATTTAAAAAGGAACCCAAAAGCTGGTGATGCTTGCATTCACTGGCAAGTGGCAGCAGCCCCCGGGGGCAGTTTTCTTCTGAAACATCAACCGCAGTAAAACCGAAACACTAACTGACCAGCCTCTGCGAAAGCTCACCGTGCCCAACACGTCCCCCGAAGGCACACGGAGAGAGCGGCCTGCCTTGATCTCCACAGTGACATCCTAATGAAATACTTCTTGGGTAAAAATACTTCTTCGGTCTGATCAGATGAGAAAGCTGTCATGCAAAAGTATTATTAGGAAAATGTTTGATTTTTTGTTCTTTTAGAAACATTTTGTTGTGAAATATAACATTGATTGGCAAAACTGTATAAAATGAATGTATACCGCTTAATGAATTATTGTTGAAACCACCATAAAGGTCAAGAAATAGGATTCTGAGAGCCATCCAGATGCCCCTGATGTGCCCATCCCAGTCACCTCCCCGTCACCCAGAGTGACCGCTGTTCTGACTGCACGGTGGGCGTTCTCCCGCTTTTATCATCTCACTACCTAGGCACGTATCTGTGAACATTCTACTTGCACTGTTTGTTTCAAATATGTCATTACATCTCTCCAGTGCAGTGAAATAGACCCAGTGTGAAACTGACCTTTTGCACCATGTTTGAGTGTCCAGGTCGGCAGCATTGAGGCCGTCGGTGCCGTTGTGCGGCCTCCCCACTGTCCAGCTCCAGGACCCTTTCCTCCCCCTTGGAATTTACTTGAGGAAACCAGGTTGTTTGACTGTCGTTCACCAGAGTCTGGACTGGTGGACTCCTGACAAGCGTCTGTCATTCGAGCCCCTGTACGCCGGCAGCAAGGTCTGGAGTGCTGACCAGGCTCCGGGGTGACCACAGGTGGGGCGTGTCCTCCCATGAGGAGGCACATCATGCCTCCTCGCCTCTTGCTCTGCTATGTGGACGCTCACGGCCTCGACCCACTAACCTAGCAGGGCTGCAAAACAAGGCACTCCAGTTCTATCCTGGCTTTCCGACTGTTACCCGAGGTGCACTTCTATACAGAGAAGCTCCCCCCCATCAACTCTTCTTAGACAAACCTGCACAGAGACGCAGGCTAAGTCCTCACTACTTGGCATTTTCCAAAGATGGGCAGTCCTTCCCAGGAGCACAAGAACTCAGAATGGAAACACAGCCGTCGTCCGCGGAGGCTCGAGGGGCCGCCGGCAGTCCCCTCAGGCTGGGCCTCCCGCCACAGCCTGCGTGCACCGCAGCAGCTTCCCCGCTACAGCCTCCACAGGAGGCTCCAGACCCCTCTGCGCACCCCACCTGCTCCAGATGCCCTGGATTCTCTGGGTGGGACAGGGTCTTGAAGCCCCTGAGGCGGGCATTAGGAGTGCTCGCTGCCACCGGGCTCGTCAGTTTCCAGGCCAAGGTCGTACAGGGTGGGGAGGCAGGTAGATTTTTAAATACCTCACTAATGTTTTACTGATATTTTTTATTCAGATTCTAAATGACAGGATTTGTACTTCATCTCTATTATCTTACATCAATTACCTCCTTTCTTCCACATGAAAATCCTAGCTCAAGACCAGATTTGGATGGCAGACTTAGGTCATCACAAAATTAATCATTTACTTTATTCCACATCACTGCACAGTTTCAGAATACCAATACCCATACCAACATTCTATCAAATGATTGAAAACAGTTTAAAATTACTTTTGTGGGCAGTGACATCATCATAATGGCAGAAAAAGGCTTTTCTACTGTCTTCCCCACAAAGAACACCAATTTAGACAACCACCCACAAATAAGAAAGCCTTTGTGGAAGTACGGGGTCCCATGGAGAAGCCCCAGCACACAGGGGATGCAGAGAAACCCAAGACTGGGCGGACGACTGAGGAGGGTAAGAGACCTGGTCCGATTCTACCCACATCACCCCTCAAGCGAGGTGACATGGCTCAACGTCAAGGGCACCTCCTCTGCCCCCAATTTCTCCCTCAGGGAAAGAGAGTCCCATGCTCCCTCAGGTGTGCGGGACAATCCCCAAAGAAGTCCTTTTCTTGCCCCAGTCAGAATATTGAGGTCACAAAAACATCCTGAAGGTCTTATTTCTAAATCCAGAACATGATTCAGGATCGCATATAGCATTTTACTGTGATATATATCTTCAATCTCCTTTCATCTAGAACACTCCTCCCACCTATTTTTACAAAAGGGGAATCATTTTGTAAAACCGCCTACTTTAGAGTTGCTGGGAAGATTAAATAGAAATAAAGCAAACAAACTGGCCAGTCGAGACCTTATATGCAGTATCTGACCATGCTGAATAAATACTAACTCTCTGCCATCTGTCTACAGCCCACACCGAGTCGGCCATGCTGGCTCACATGACAGCTGTATTTACTGCTGTATATTTTTTAAATGGCACCTCATTTCAGTAACCATAGTTAATGTGAGTCCATGCCTGAAAAACAAATTTCCTCCCAAGCGGTCCCCAGGTGGAGGCTTCTGAAACTGTCAGGCCACCTTCCGATCTAACAGGCCCCAAAGGAGCCTCGAGCTTACAGTTCCTGGTTCCTCAGCTGGAGCCACACATAACAACGCATCGTCCACCGGCCACGCTCCGGAAGGGCCCTTTGTGGGCGCTGGGACCCACCTTTTCTCTCTATGATCTCACTTGGTTGGGTCATAAAGAGTCTGTGTCTCAAATTCTATCATTTGCTATGTAAACACCAGCCAGAGCTTCTATTAACCATTATCAATAAAGACCATCTAATTAATAATAACCACGCTGTAGTTTACACCCATTTATACCTAACTGAGCTGCTTTACATATACAGACCACCTGGTAATCACGACTCCAGCTCTCTTGGATTCAGTCCTGTCTTAAAGAGAAGAAGGTATCCCCAGGCTACAAATCCCAAACTGCATTCTGCGTCCAGCTTAGAAGGGGAGAGACGCTTACAGGTGAAGCGCAGATCCTCACGGCACCCCTCGGAACGGACATCACTATCACTTCACACGCCAGGAGATCAAGGCACGGACAGGTCCAAGTCACTCACCCAAAGAAACACTAAGTTCTAGTGACAGAATCCACTGTCTTCGGCTGAATGTTTGTGTCCCTCCAAGTTCACAGGTGGAGCCCTGACCCCATTTGGAGCTACATTTGGAGAAGAGAGACCGTGAGGGGTGGTACAAGTTAAATGGGGTCACAAGGGCGAGGCCCTGACCCCACAGGGCTGGTGTCCTTACACGAAGAGGACGACACCAGAGCTCTCTCCCTGCCACCGGAGGACATGGCCAGAGGGCGGCCATCGGCAAGGCGGGAGGAGGCTCTCACCGGAACCCGACGGTGCCAGCACCTGACCTTGGACGTCCAGCCTCCAGAACCGCGAGCAATCACTCCTGCCGCACGGCCGCGCTGTCTGGAGTGTGTGTCGGTGCAGCCTGAGCTTCCTCGTACGCCCCACAGCGCCGCCACATGAATGCAGAAATGGATCCTTCGCAATTTGCCATAATTATTCTACGACATTTCACCCCTTCTCAGCTAGCCCTAATGTTACAAGCAGAAATTCCCGTTTTTCTCCAGACTCCATCTCCTTAGAGAAATCACCAGGCTTGGATGGAAAACTTTATCACCATAGCTGATTAGATCACAGCAGTTTGACTTGAATAAATGCAGTAATTCCTACATTCCACCAATTTAGGATGACCTCCTGGCAAATGAGCACAACATTTAAAAGTGTGAATTAAGAAATCATTTAACTAAAAAGCCCTTTATTACCCTCAGGCACGTACAGTAACTCATGGGCTAAGGAAGTGCCTGGGAGATGCCGCTTGAGTTAGTGAACGACAAGCAGGTCACAAGCAGAGAGCGGCAGGTGGGAGGGGCCGCAGTGGCCAAGGCGTGGCGGGGGGTGGGGGCACGGGCCATGCTCGCCGAGGTGGGGAGGGGGCTCACCGTCACTGAGATCCTGGAGGAGGCTCTCCTGGCACGAGAAATCCAGCTTCACCCGGATGCTGACGGTGAAGGTGGCGACCTGTCCAGGCTGCAGAGGAAACTGGGCAAGGGTCTCTTCCAGCTTCCAGCTCAAGAAGTCGCCATACAATTTTTCTGCAACGATCATAACAGTGATGGTGATGTAACCAAGGCAATACGAGAGCTGCCCGTCCCCTAGCATGTGGATGCATTCTCAGGAAGCCAAGCAGGCCGTTTAAATGTGAGAGGCCAAAGAACCAAGAAAATTCCAGAAACATGGTGCTGCAGGCAATCCCGTGTACGGCGTGCAGAGGGGCACAGCACCATGCATGGCGCCATGTCATCTCATCTCCTTTGACAGAATCAACGCACCCCTCGCTCTTATAAACGGAAACAGAGCTAAACTACACGTCTCTGCAGCACTTCCCACATTATGTCACCTTAAACAGAGAAACAGCCCCACGCTGAGAGCAGTCCTTCCCAGAACAGATGTCCCCCAGGAACGGGATGGGGATGGGGTGCAGAGCCAGCGGCCATGCCTCAGAAGGGCCTGCGGGGGGCCTGCCCCAGCTCCCGGCATGGCCACCTGCCTTCAAACATCTTGCCTTTTAGTCCACTGGCCCTGGGTCCCTGATGAACTGGGGCAAGGTGGGGGGTAAGGACCCCTTAAGCCAAGGTTCCTGCTGCACAGTGATGTGGGGGTGCATTCCTGGACCAAAGTTGGGTCTGTAAGGCCCTGTGAAAACTAAAGGCAAAGGTACCAAGGGGGAGACAGGAAGGAGATGGGGGGCCATCACTTGTGCCTTGTGCAAGCAGCTGTTGGCACCTTCGTGGCACCTGCTCCTGCCAGACAAGCCCTCTCCTCTGGAGACCAGGTGAGGCATCAGGCCTAAGACCACAGCCCAGGAGGATGCGCTGCCTCGACACCTGCTGAAACCAGGGGGACCTGGACGGCCTCAACACAAGCCCCCAGCTCCGCCCTCACCCCGCTCCCATGGGTAAGGTCCCCTCCCCCTCACAGGGACCAGGCACAGCTCCCACCTGTCCCTGAGTGGCGGGTTTCAGTCCCCTGCCAGCCTGCAGTATTCAAAGAAGCCAGCCACATCCTCCTGTGGGAACCAGGGCCCACCTCCTCCAGCCTGAGGGTGACCCACATACGGCCCTGCAAGTCACGTGGTGTTCATGTCCCCAGGGCTGTGTGTGTGACTAGGAAATTGCTGATCTCTGTCCAATGCTAGGAGTCCTGAGCTTGGCCACCCTCCTAACCTAAGGGTGGAACTCTCTCCACCAAGGAGGTGAAGAGGGATTTCACTAAAACATGTCCTTCCCTCCCACCACAAAGGCCGTGCTGTGACCTTCGGCTCCAGTCAGAAGATAGAGAGCGTGACCAAGGCCCACGCTGAAGAAGGATCTGTGGAGGGTGCCGATCACAAGAACAGAGGCCAGACGGTACCGTGAAGGCGAAGTGAGCCCCGGCCTTCCTGCATGTGCCGTGCCTTCCTGTGTGCAGCCGTGCCGTCCGGCATGCCGTCACCGCCCACCCCTCCAGGACGGGCCAGCTCCAGCTGGAACACGCCTAAGATACCACGCTCATTCCTAGGGTGTCCCTACAGGGGGTGCGAACACACAGGAACAGACCGGGCGGTGCCCCTGCAAGGCATCCAGGAGCCTCACCGCATCCACTCGCTCACTCAGCTGTTCATGGGCCGCCTCGGGCGTGCTGGACCTTTTCCGCATTCACATCACTGCACTGACCCCCACGCGACCCGGTGCGGCAGAGGCTATTCCCCGCTGGAAGCCAAGGAGGTGGGCGTTCATGACGGAGGTCACTCAGCTGGTAAGTAGATAACTCAGCATAGAATAGGTGCCTGATAAATATCAGCGGCACTGTAGCATCACTGCTTCCACTAGTTTGCAAGTGTTCAGATGTTGGGTGAATTAATTCCAGCATGTTACTTCAGAATGATCAAGAAAAAGATGGGCAGCTGGGAGAAGGATGCTTGAATTGCTGAGGGTGCTGGTTGGAAAGTGAGCCTCTGATGGCAAGCTGAGGGCAGGGGCAGCCCCCCAGCCCCACCGGACGCCTGTGGCAGCCCCCACCAGAGCGCATGAGGAGTGAGTGATTCACAGGGAACCCGGCCCCATGCTCGGCATCTGTGAGGGCACAGCGCTGCTGGCTGCCGCCAACATCCCTCCCCACTCAACGGCACCCAGCACCCCACACTCCAGGGCACAGACACAACAATGCTCATCCGGAGGGCGGGCAGACCCCCGGGAGAGGGCTACTCACACACAACTTCAAAGAGGAGGGGCAGTCAGGCAGGCTAGAAGAGGGGCAGGGACGCAGGGACTGTTGCACGTGGGTCTGCACCCTCCCTGGTGCAGCATCCTCGACGTCACCCCGGAACCCCTCCCACACACCGGCTCGCCATCTCCCTCCTATACCGTGATCTGCAGAACACGCAGATTCTGGATGTCTGATTATTTTGTTGAGATTGGCAATGGCCTCATCTAGAAAACACTGACTCTGTTTTCCAAGTTGACCTGACCTCTGCCCTGACCCGCAGTCCTGAGAGTCCACCCACTGCTGGTCATCTCTGAGTGGTCTGCCAGCGCCGACTCCAAAATGGAAGCCGTTGCCTTCCCTCCCAAACCATTAACAGTACCAAAATCCTCTCCGTGACCCCATAACTCACATTCTATGAACATGTGTTAACCAGTAATACATTCTCTGCCCTTTTTTCAATCCAGGAAATTCAGCAGGAAGGGGCTCTGAGATGCCAGGCTCTGGGGAGCCAGGACAGAGCGCGGTGGGTGCTGCCCTGCTGGAAGTCCAGGTGCCGTGGCCAGGAGTATTGAGGCCATGCTCACTTCTTCACGCAGCCTGTCCATCTGCTACAGCGGTGCCGGCCAGCCCTACGAAAGGCAACTCTGGCTAAGCTGCCGAGTCCGGCACAGCCCACCCCCCACCTGAAGAGTCCATGAGGCCACTTCTGAAGCACAGGCACTCAGAGTCCCCAGGCACCCCCATCGGTGCACGGACGGGCAGCAACTGATGAGGGCCATGAGGCGCACCTACAGCCGGACTGGCAGCACTGACGTGCCTAGGGAAGGGCAGCCCAGCCTCGGCCTCCGGGCCCCAAGGCCAGTGCACACACAGTGTTCCTCCCGCCCAGACTGCCTGGCCAATTTTCTTGCCCAATGGCTCCCAATTCATTCTTCCCAGCCTGGTGCTCAGGCTCCTTTCCTCCCACCCATCCCACTTGGCTCCCGTGGGCTCCCATGTGCACACATCTGTTAGCACACCACCCCTGTGTTAAGCAGCTCACTCTACACCAGTCAACACATGGAAGGTAGAGACCAGACCCCACCTTTGAAGCTTACACCCCTGAGAGGCAGGTGGCCGTGCTGGTTAAGAATACCAGGTTTAGGACTAGCTGCCTGGGATCAAACCCTGGCTCTAGCTGGGGATCCGTAGGTAAGTTTCCGAACGTCCACGTGCCTCGGTTTACTCATCTATAAAATGGACTGTCACAAAGGCTAAATGAGGTGGTGAAAGTAAAGTACCCGGACCAGGCCTGGCTTGAGAAGCCCCTAACCGGTGTCAGGTTCTCCTCCTGCCCCGCACCCCAGCCCCCCAGCCCCACCGGACGCCTGCGGCACCCCCCACCAGAGCGCATGAGGAGTGAGTGATTCACAGGGAACCCGGCCCCATGCTCGGCATCTGTGAGGGCACAGCGCTGCTGGCCGCCGCCAACGTCCCTCCCCACTCAACGGCGCCCAGCGCCCCACACTCCAGGGCACTCGGTAAGGGCACAGTGAGGAACAGACAAAGGTATTCCAACGCATCACTGCAGCTTTGGATCAGCCCAGATGAAAAAAGCAGATTACCGAAATGAACACATGGTATGATTTCAAAAGCATAAAAATACACAGAAAAAAGGAAGAAAACTGATGATACGCTAAGATCAATTGTCTCTGAGTAGGGGGACCACAGGTCATTTCAAATGGTTTTTACTTCGTACAGTGAGTGTGTATTACATTTTCATACACACACACAGACACTAATGACTCACGCTTGTGTCTGGGTTCTCACTTCTGGTGTAACAGGGAGAGAAGCCTGAGAATCTGCCTGCAACTCCATATGCAAGACTGAGTGTGCCGAGGCCCGTGGCCCACGCGGGAGTGACACAGGGTCAGAACCAGGGCAGCTGCTTTCCAAGACGCCCTACGTCGGGGCCAGGCAATAACGGGAATTCGTGATCAGACAGCAGTCACCTGGAGCACGTGTGTCACTGAGTCTCCAGACTCAACCCTTCCCCCTGGAAAAACTTCGGATGCACGGAGTGATTGCTGCGGCCATGCAAACTGGCAGGTGCTCAAATGCCTAAAAAGAAGTTAACCAAGCTTAGGAAACGCTGGTCCAGACTAATTAGGCGAGCTCTCCATCTCCTGTCCGCTCCCCAGCTTGGCGAGGCAGAGTCACTCTGGGGGGCAGATGGCAGGACCAGAACAAGTGACAGGCTCCTCTCCCAGAGGCCTTTTTTTTTTTTAAAGCAGTGATTGGTATAACCATCCATTAAGTACCATTTTTAACTTCATACTATTACTATCTTATTCCCATGTGATAAAAGAGGCAACTAGAGCTCAGAGAGTTTAAGCAATTTATCCCAAGTCAAACAGCCGGTAAGTGAAAGACCAAGGGTCAGAGCCAGGACTGGGTCACTGCACAGGCCACCTCCCCCTGCCTACCTGAGGCCACTGGCCCACCCAGAGCACAGCCGGAGTGGAGTATTCACAAGGAAAACACCACTAGGGTGACGTCATTAGTGCCTTGAAAAGAGATGGTAGGAAATGAAACGCAATCACCAGGCATCTTACTTGAAAGGTCAAACTTGAACTTGAGCCCCAGCACTGCCACGGACGGCTCCCTGACATGTGCAGTCACACGTCCTCCCACAACAGGCGAGCAGACGAAGAAATGGCCCACTTGTGCCGATGATGTGAGACAACACAGTCTCAGGGTGGTAACACAAACCGCTCAGAGGGCTCACAGGCAAGGCCTCCGTAAAGCCCGGAGCACTGGGTTAAGGGTTGCTTTTCACATGCTACTGTCACCCATCCCATAATGAACT